ATCCCTCTGATCCAGCAGGGAAGGAACCCCAATCCCAAATCCAGGAACAACAGCAAATCCCTCTGATCAGGGAAACAACCCCAATCCCAAATCCAGGAGCAGCAAATCCCTCTGATCCAGCAGGGAAGGAATCCCAATACCTGATCCCTCAGCCTCAGCATAGCAAGTTTAATATTAAAAAAAAATATAAAATAGATTTAATATATATAACAAACATACAAAATATTTTTAAATATATATTTGATACAAAACCTCTACAAAACGTGTTTTTAGGAGCACTGGAGCTGGAACTCCAGCCCTGCCTGTCTCTTGTACCCAGCTTTTCCCCACTTTTCATCTGGGAAAAGTCTCAGACTTGCCTGGATTTTCCCTTCTCCCACTTTTAGCTGCAAGTGCTCAGGCCAAGAGCCCAGCCCAGCCCTGAATGTCCCTTCCAGTGAGCCACCAGTCCCTCCCAGCGCCCAGCTGGGGACAGGGAGGGGGCTGGGGACCATCCCATCTGCCACCCAGCCATTCCCAAAGATTTCTGCTGGAATTATGGCAGGGCTGGCTGGAGGAAGCCCAGCCCTCTTCCTTTCCTCCTGCTCTCCCACAAGAAAGAAACTCAGGAATTTGGCAGGGGGCCACAGGCTCGAACAGAGAGGACCCTGTTTGGAGAAGCAGCCTCTTCCCTGCCAGGATAAACGTTGCTTTTCCACCCCCTCCTCCTGGATCAGAGGACATTTTCCCTCCAAATGCAGGAAATTTGGGAAGGCTGAGCTCCTCCTGGGATGTCCCCAGCCAGGCACAGCTCTGCTGGGAGCAGCTGAGAAAGAACCAACCCCAAATCTCCAAATGAAATTTTCCCTTTTTTTTTCTCCACATCCCAACCCACTGGAAAATCCTCCAGCAAATTCCAGCCGCTCCTTTTGCTTTCAGACCAGGAAAATGGGAAGAAGAAAGGATTTTTAGGGGCAGTTGCTGTGCTGAGAGCTGGGCTGGGAAGGGTTAAAGCAGCAGCAGCATCAAAGGGAGCCCCCAGAGAGGGGGGTGAGAACCCGAGGTTGCGCAGACTCCTTGGAATGTCAGGAATTTCCCATTATTATCCCACTTCCCTGGCAGGGAGAGCACCAGAACAGGACCCTAAGCCTGGGGATGGGCAAATCCCACAGGGCCAGGGTGGGAATTTTGGGTCAGGACATTCAGAACAGCTCGGGGGGCTCAGCGCTGCCAGGACACCCCAAAATCATCACCCCTCCCAAAAGCAGAGCCCACATGCTCAGCACAAACATCCTCCCCAAAAAGACCCCAAAATTTCCTGCTTTTTCCCCAAAAAACTGGAGCTCCAACGGTGCTGGTCCCCCACAAATAAATCAATTTATTTTCAACCAGTTATTTGCATTGTCACCCTGGTGAGACCGCCCCGCAAGAAATGCCATTCCCTGCCCAAATTGGAATTTAACAAATTTCCTCTCAGCCCAGCTGAATTTTTGGATTTTGGACAAGCCACAGCCACCCCCAGCAAGAAAAAAAAAACAACCTAAAAAACCCCCACGGAAATGGGAGGGTCTGGCCAAGCTCTGCTCTCACCACTTCTCCTTTCGGTGTAACTCAGAAGAGTAAATTTAAAGAGCAAAAGTAAAAACTTTTAAGAGTAAAATCAGGAATATTGGGAAGAAATTCCCCCCTGTGAGGGTCTTTCACAGGTTGTTCCATCCCTGAAGTGTCCCAGGGATGGGTTTGGATGAGTTTGGGGCACCCTGGGATGGTGAAAAGTCTCCCTGCCCATGGGGCTGGATGGGATTTAAGGTCCCTTCTCATCCAAACCACCCTGAAATTCCCTAACTCCTACAGGGATCTTGTCAGGATCAGCATTTTTAAAGCACCCTGTGAACAGACCACCCTAAACCAGCACAAGAAATTAATTACATTAATTATATTCTCTAGTTTTCCTTCTAAGGACTGCCAGTGCATAAGGAGCAGTTAAAAAAAATCAAATTTTCAAGCTGCCTTTTAGATATTAAGAAGCATTTTGGGTACACAGGGTCCTTCTGGATAAGGGGAAAAAAATAAAGGTTGGAAGGGAACATTCAGTGGTCAGGAACAGGTGGAAAGGGCCAGGAAAAAAAAGGGCCAGAGGAAAAAGTGCTCAAGGAAAAAAAAGGCCCAGGAAAAAACAAGAGTCCCAGAGGAAAAAAAAAATAAAGGGAAATAAAAAAAGGACCCTGAGCTCTTGCTCCACCCTGCCCTGCCTCCATCCCCCACACCAAGGATTTCACCTCCCAGGTTTATTTACCTTAGGATTCTTTCCCTGCCAGGAAATTCAGGTGGCTGCACCCAGCCCAGCCCGGCCTGGTGAGCTCTGCACAAAGGGAATTTCGGGGTCTGTTCCCTGCACAGAGGAAATTTCTGGAGAAATTCCAGAATTGCTGGAGTTCCTGCTCCTGGAGAACTTGGGGTGTCCCACAGAGCCCAAGGACCGGAGTTTGAGAGAGGAATATCCAGGAGAACTCACAGAAAATCTGCAGAGGAGATCCCCAGAGGAAACCCCACAGGAGAAACCCTCACACAGCACAGGAGATCCCACAGGAGGATCTCCCACAAAACCCCACAGGAGATCCCCCATAGCATGAGGTCCCAAAGGAGGATCCCTACAACAGGGCCCCACACAGGAGGAGACCCCAGGAGAGATCCCCACAGCATACGAGATCCCCCCCAGTGGACCCCACAGGAGATCCCACAGCAGGAGATCCACAGAAGGTCCCACAGCACAGGAAGATTCCCCACAGGAGGATCCCCACAACAGGGCCCTACACAGGAGATCCCATGGGATGATCCTCACAGGACGGCCCCCCACAGAAGGGGACCCCCACACGGGAGAGACCCCACACAGCAGAAGACCCACAGAAGGCCCCACAGAAGGGTCTCACAGCACAGGAGAGGCCCAGTGGGCCCCATAGGAAGATTCCCCCACAGGAGAGACTCCACAGCACAGGAGACCCTCAGTGGAATCCACAGGAGATCCCATAGGAGGATCCCCACAACAGGAGACCCCCATGGGAGGATCCCCACAACAGGGCCCCCCACAGGAGATCCCATGCGAGGATCCCCCACAGAATGGGACCCCCACACAGGAGAGACCCCACACAGCAGAAGACCCACAAAAGGCCCCACAGGAGGATCCCACAGCACAGGAGGATCCCCACAGGCTCCACAGGAGATCCCATGGGAGGATCCCCACAACAGGGCCCCACACAGGAGATCCCATGTGAGGATCCCCCACAGAAGGGGACCCCCACACAGGAGGATCCCCACAGCACAGGAGAGGCCCAGTGGACCCCACAGCACAGGAGGATCCTCACAGGAGAGATCCCCCCATAGGAGAGGCCTACACAACAGGGCTCCACACAGGAGGATTCCCCACAGCACAGGAGACCCCCATGGGAGGATTCCCACAGGAAAGACCCCCACAGCACAGGAGACCCTCAGTGGACTCCACAACAGGAGGAGATCCCACACATCAGGGTTCCACACAAGAGATCTCACACAGAAGGGGACCCCCACACAGGAAGGTCCCACAGGAGATACACCACACAGCAGGAAACCCACAGAACGTCCCACAGCACAGGAAGAGATCCCACACAGGAGGATCCCCCCACAGCACAGGAGACCCCCAGTAGATCCCACAAGAGAGACCCCACAGCACAGTGGACCCCACATGAGATCCCACAGCAGGCCCCACAGGAGGATCCCCCAGAAAATCCCACAGCATGAGATCGCCATAGCAGGATCCTAAAGAGGAGGGTCTCCCACAGCAGGGATCCCCAGAAAATGCCCCATAAAACCCCCCAGGACCTCCCACAACGGGCACTCACGCATTGCAGTAGGGCTTCTTCTCGTAGCCCTTGTAGTTCTTCATGTTCAGGGTCATCTTGCAGGTCTCGCAGTGGAAACATGATTTGTGCCAGAACTGCAACACAAAAAAACCCCAACTATCAGCACCAGGGATCCCAAAACTCCGCTGGAACCCCACAGCTCCCACCCAGCATGGCAGCAGTGCCACCTGTGATCCCAGGAAAAGCAAATTTTCCTTCTAAGAACTGCCAGTGCATAAGGAACAGGCACAAAAATGGGGTTTCCAAAAGCCTTTTTAGATATTAAAAAATATTCTGGCTCCACAGAACTCAGGACCAGCCAGGAAAGGGGAGCAGAAATCAGGATCCTTTTAGATAAATGAAAAAAAATAATTGGTTAAATGAGCACGGGGAATATCCTGGTTAATTTAGGATCAAACCCCATCTCTCCTGATCTTCCCAAGTGCCAGGGGAGGTTTTTTTTTCCTCCCATAAATCGAAGAATTCATGGTTAGGAAAAGCTCCTTCTGCAAGTGACACCACAGCAGAGGGAACAGCTGTGTTTGAAGATTCAAAGCTGATGCTTTGGGTTTAGTTTTTATTTTATTTTATTGCTGTTCTTTGCTCGGTGCCAGCCAGAAGAGCAGGTCAGGTGAGGCTGCACGAGCCAAGCAGGAAAAGGTTCTCATGGGAAGCAGACAGAGATCCACAAGAAAGACACAAACCCAAAAAGCCAGACCCTGACCCCACACCCTAGGCTGTGACAAACCCTAAATTGGAGAATTTTAAGGTTCTTTTTTAGGGCTGCTCCTAAAGAAATTACTCCCACTTGGCTCTGAGCTGAGGAGGAGCCTGAGGACAGCTCAGAGCTGGAGTTAAAGGTTGGATTTGATGATCTGGGAGTAAAATTATTCCGATTTTGTCATTCTGAGGTTGCACAGACCGAGTTCAATGTCCTGCCAGAGTCCAGACTCCACTTTTCCATCTGGATTTGTGGGGTCTGGTGGGAATTCCCAGGCCCCAGAGAAGAATGGGAATTTGCTCCTGGAGCAGGGAAAAAGGGAAAGCACAGCCTGGAGCAAAACCTTCAGTCCTGCCCTAGGGCAACCCCCCAAAAAATCAGGGAAAACTCCACCAAAAGCCCAATTAGCAGCTCCAAGCACTAATCAGAGCACAGCCAAGTGCCCTTTAACACTCAGCCATCACACCCAGAGTGCCCAGCTCTGCTTTTTGCTGGGATTTCCACTTTAAACCCTTCAAGCAGCCGATTCCCCTCTCCAAGGCCAGCCTGGATCTGTGTCCCCGCAGGGACCAAGCCCTGCTGTCACCTCCCCAGGTGCCACACCCCGTGCACAAACACTGCCAGGCTCTGGGGACGTGACTCAGCCCTGGAGAGGACAATTCTCCTCCTTTTAATTGCTCTCAGACACGGATTTGTTCCTCCAGCTGCTGGGGCTTCACTCCTCCATCCCTTCCCAGAGTGGTTTTGCCCCTTTCCCAGTGTTTTGGGCTCCTGCAGGATGGATCAGAGGCTGGATCCTGAGTTTTTTGGGGCTCAGGAGCTGCCAGGGATGGCACTGTGGATCTGTAAGGGGGGAAACTGAGAGGCAGCACAACCCCAGAGCCTTCTCCTCAAGGAATGGCCCAGCTCCCAGGAGGATCTGGCACAGCCAGCAGATCCCTGGGATCCAGCAGAGGAAAAACCCCAGTCCCAAATGCAGGGGCAGCAAATCCCTCTGATCCAGCAAGGAAATAATCCTAATCCCAAATCTGGGAACAGCAACAGATCCCTGGGATCCAGCAGAGGAAAAGGCCCAATCCCAAATGCAGAAGCAGCAAATCCCTCTGATCTAGCAAGGAAATAATCCTAAATCCCAAATCTGGGAACAGCAGCAGATCCTTGGGATCCAGCAGGGAAACAACCCCAGTCCCAAATGCAGGGGCAGCAAATGCCTCTGATCCAGCAGGGAAAGAATCCCAATTCCAGCTCCAGGAACAGCAGCAGATCCCTGGGATCCAGCAGGGAACAGCCCCAATCCC